GTCATTGGAAAAATCAGCAGACAGCGCCACAGTGATCACTCGAGGGGCTGGAATACATGCTTTGCAGAGGGAACTCACAGCTTCCATCTCCTCTCCTCAGCCAGCACCCAGGAAAAACTGACCCCACACACCAAGCTGAGAATAGCCCTTAAGCACCACTGGATATGGCCCAAGAACATTAAAAAGACAAAACAAACAAACAAAAAACTAAGTGAAGGTGATACTATTGTAATTTAAATACATTAAATTTCTCTTTAAAAATGTAGTAGTTGAATAGAAATGATAGTGTGATGAACAGAAACATTTGCACCAGTAATAGCTCTGCCAATGACCTCCAGGAGCAAGCCACTTACCCTCTCAGCCTCTATCTACTCCTCTAAAGATATGGGGGTTCAACTAGATAAGTGTATCCCAAAGAGGGCAATACTGCCCCCCAGGGGTTGATGGAAGGAGCCAGGGGATGGTAGTAGTCTCAGGTGCAATTGGGGGGTGAGGGACTGTCTGTTTGTTAAAGAAGTGAATTTCCGAGGGGCTGATGAGTGATTTTTTTCTGAAATGGGTGAGGGGCAACAGAACAAAAGTTTGGGAATCTCTGGATTAGATGATCCAGAGGTCACCATCAGTTCTCTGAATTTTCAAATATAAAACTTTACAGAGAACGTCTTTAAAACTTCATATGAATATTCTTTTTGTTTGTTCTTGGACCATGCTCGATCAGTCCTTAGGAGCTACTCCCAGCTCTGTGCTCAGAGGCTCCATCCATGGGATTCTGGAGACCAGGTGGTGCTAGAAATTGAACCAGGGCCTCTTGCAAGTAAAGTATGTGCTCAGCCTGCTGAACTGTCTCTCTGGCTCCTGAAGGATAATTTCAAAAGCCATATTAAGTTGGGGCTTTTGTCAAACTCTGTGAGAATATATATATATGACGCAGCCTAGTTCAAAGTAGGTTCATTTTTCAGAGAACAAAGCAAATTCAATTTTGTTAAACAAGACAGTTCTTATAAACACAGATTCTTGAGCTGAGATATGGCTTGATTTAGTAGAGCACATGCCTGATATTGCTCTTTCCAAATAAAAAGAAGGGGAGAAACAGTAAAATTTTTAGTTAATATTTTTGGGACAGATCACATACAGTGTTGCTCAGGACATACCCCTGGTGCTGTGCTCAGTGATTGCTCTTTGGGGGCAGGGGAGCATGTTGGTGGCCAGGGATTGTATCCATGCAAGGCAAGTGCCCTACTAACGGTACTATTTCTCCAGCCCTCTCCCCCTACAAATCTCTTATGTTTAGATGTTTATATCATCACTTACATTTAGGAACAATAAAGTGAACTTAGAAGAGGACATCCCGGAACTGGCAGACACATAATACCATCGAAAAATAACCTTTCTCCTTGTGAGAAAAGCTGTTCTATAGAGTCTTACTAGTTGCTTCTTGTGTGGATGACCTTGTGCTTCCCCTAACCAAGAGAGTGGCTCTTTGTCCTATGAGTAAGTTGGAAGGGGCCTTTCATTCTCACTCTTTATCTGCATTTCAGAGCAGCAGTCCTCTCTGCCGTGAAGCAAGTGTGACTTAATCTTGCCAAACCATCTCCCTTCCTGCCTATCTATTTCCATTGACTCTAACCATCCTTACAAGTTTCCAGACTAATGCGTCTGTCTATATCCTCCTTCAATGCCAGTTTGGAAGTGGACTCTGCTCTTGAAATGTGGTCTGACATTTCAAGAAGGAGTTCATGGTACAGGACGTAACCAGCCTCCTTTTGGTCGCACATGTCTCCCTGTGCAACCTCAGGTAATTTAGCACCTTCCTTCCATTACGCATTGCCTATGTCGCAGCATATTGTGAGGGTATGGAATAAACTCCCAAGATCTTCTTAGCACAAACCACTGACAGGCCAAGTCTCTCCCAGTTTTTCAAATTCTAAACGCCGAGCTTCACATTTATTTTTGTTAACTTTCTTCATGATGGTTTCAGCCCATCCTGTTCCAACCTGTCGAAATTGCTCTGAATGTTGATACTGACATCCATCACATTAGAGATCCCTCCCAGCTTTCTGTCATCTGCAACTGTGATCAGCATGCCTTCTCTGCCTTCATCCAAGTTTTTGACGAAAACGCACTGTATTTTTAAAGAGTCTTCTAATTTAATTGATTTTGGTCCAATTTTTGATAATTTTGTAAAGCTCTCTAAAAGGGAGAGAATCCAAGCTATGAGGTTCAACCTGATTTCCAAACAATGTAATTAAAATAAATACGCCTTGCAAAATTGAGCCAGGCCCCCAAGGTAGTAATCCATGTGACCCAGACTCTGGCATGGTCGATCCATTCTTTTGGATAAAACTAACAATTAAATTGGATAAATGTTTGTTGATGAGGAGGATGACTCTGGGCTGACACAGTGAATGGTGCAGAGGGAAGCAAATACACTGGATTGATTTTTTCAGTGTGGAGACAGTTCCCAGCTGGGACAACTCAAAGTGCTGGGAAGGCTTTGCCACTGAATGACTAATTAGGCTATGTAGCCCAATAATTGGATAATTTGGGGGCACAAAAATCACTTTTGGGCCTCAGTTCTCTGGAATGACCATCAAGAGTGATTTCAAATGCCCCAAACAATGTCAGATTATAGATTGGAGCATCAGCATAGGCTGCACATAGAAGTTTCATAATTCAAGCAAATCATTTAAAGGGAGGTCAAAGTTGCTTCAGAAAGGAGAAGTTTGCATTCCTCAATGCTCTTCTAACACTCTCTCTCATGGTAACCAGAGAAGCCAACAGAGCCCAGTATTTAGGGTAGTCTTGATTTCTACTCCTCTCTCTGGTAGGTGATCTTAAGAAAGTCAGTCAATTCCCTCATCTTAAGACTTTACCTCGGTGGTCTTTCTACATGACACCTGGCATGTGCGGTGTTCATCCTCATCAAAACATTCAACAAATGGTAGAGAAGGGTTTGATCAGGAATATAATGCACAGAGCACTGTGCTAAAGCTTTAGCAAGTATCATCTTATTTAATCTTCACAGCCACAGGAAATGGTTACGATTATTACTACTTCATGATACACAAAACAAAAAAAGGCATTACAAGGTTTAATCGGTTGTTCAAGGTCATCTAGCTAGTACATAATGGCACTGGGATTTTAATCTAGACCTGCATGGTTCCAAAGCCTAAACCCTTAGCTCAATGCATTATTTTGTTAAACTATTATTTGAGACTTGACTTTAGTCAAGAGACACTACTTGTAATCAGAATAAGAGTCCTCAACCTTTGATACTAAGGATCTACTGTGTGTCTTCTGTGAAGCCTCGTGATCAGGTGTGGAGAGGAGGCTTCACAGTCTCTAATGAGGATGGGGATAACGGCGGGTATGCCAATCACCCCTGTATTTCTATCAACAATGCAGCCTAAAAGGGACACAGAGCCAATACACTCAGTCGCTTCTAGTCCTTCAACCCAAAGATTGAAATAGTGATTAGTCCTGGGGAGAGCAAGCTGGTAATAACTGCCAAGTCTAATGAACAACTGAGATCCGTGGGCGGGTAGCTCATGTGTATGCAGAATGTATTCTATGACATTTTTTTTTAACTTAGAGTGGGGTAACTATCCCTAGAGTTCATTTTTTTTTATGATTAAATGGGGCAATATACCATGAGGTCTAGTGTTAAAAATTGTGCAATCATTTAAATGTTTTCATTTCTGTCTCCCTGATGAGTCTCTGTATTACTAGATATTTGTCTTTCTAAGTCTATTTTATTTTATTATATTTTTTGCTTTTGAGCCACATCCTACTGTGTTCAGGGCTTACTCCTGACCCTGTGTTTGGGTATTACTCTTGGCAGATCTTGGGGGATGATATGTGATGCTGGGGATGGAACGTGGGACAGCTGTGTGTAAGACAAATGCCCCCTGCTCTATCACTTCAAACCTTTTCTAAGTCCATTGAAATGCCTCCTAGTTTACCAGGGAGATATTACAACAGGTTGGAGTGCAGGCTTTACCTACAAGGGCCTCATGTTTGATCCCCATCACTGCACGGTCCCCTGAGCACCACTGAGAGTAACCCCTAAGCACCATGCTAAGAGTAGCCCTAGAGCACTACCTGCTGGGATCCCCCAAACAAAGCAAAACAAAAAACCTTTTGTATAGTAATATTTATACATTTGCTCAGAAAATTCTTTCTCAGGCTTCTCTATGATATCTAAATTTCTAGGAATTTATAGATAATACACTGACATTTTACTATATCCTATGTGAAATTAAAATGTTAGTATGTTTTGGTTGGCTTAAACATCACCACTGGTAATCTTGTCTGGTTTTCAAAACAGTTTTCCCAACCCTTATTCCTGTGTGACTGATGTTCAAAACATCCCTCTGAGGCTGAATGTTATAATCATCTCCACTGCAGGGAGGAGAAAGTCAAGAGTGGGAGCCAGGTGACACAGGTAGGGGAAGCAGCAGAAGCTTCCTACCAATTGTTCCATCCCAATCCTCCCCACACTTCCCACTCCCTTCCCCCACGTCAAAGCCAGAGCTTGCTCCTCTGCACAAGTAGTCTAATCCCTCTGAATAAACAGCAGGCCAATCAATGCCCATGCAATTGGGTAAACTGCTTAGCACTAACTTGTGGCTGACCCACAATAGAAGGGAAAAAAAGAAGAATCGCTTTGTCTATACCATAAAGGAAATCTCCAAATTGTAATTCCCCTGTGTAGATTCTCATTGGCACTGCACCACCAGGAACCCTGCCACAATGGGTAGGCAGGTGCAGCACTGTCAGGCAAGGTCCTTTGTTAAGGCATTTGGAGATCCAATAAGGCAAAAAATTATTTGTGTAAAGGATGCCCTGGGATTGCCCGATGAAGTGAGAAATACAGAAAAGATGCGCAGGGCAGCTGCACACTGTGCCAGGCACACAATCATCCAATGAAGGCCAATCACTTGAATCACAGAGCGAGAACCTGAGCATTCTTTCCCAAAATAGGACAGCATAAAACTTACTCTGGAATAATCAAGATCTCTGGGCGTTGAATCTGTTAAAGCTCGGACAAGGGCATTCATCATGCAGATCGGAGGAGAAGGTGGAGAGGGCTGAGAAACTTCCTGCTGTAAAGGGCTCTTTGGTTTGGAAGGCAGCCGACCTCTCCTCCCTTTCAGACTATCCGTTCGAACAACTGGTGCCAAGAGAAAGAAAGAAATATGTATCTTCAAAGCTATCTACGAAAAGCCATCGATCATGCAAAGGAATCAAAACACAGTAGAGGTGAGCATTCATTCACAGGCTAACCATTTTAAAGTGGCAATAAGTTTGGGGTATGATTCCTACAAGAACTGAATGAGAGTTGATACATTTGATAATGAACAAACCCTAAATTGCACAAAGACATAGGTATATAAGCTCTTTATGGATTTTGAGAAATCACAGAAAGTAGTCCTTGGCTATTTTTACATGTAAATATAGAGCCTAAAAATAAATGGTTGAAAGGAAAGGGTAACCAGAGACATTACCATCCCCACATAAATATGAACATTTTCAGTGCCGTCTGAGAAGCGACCTATGCAAGCAGGATGAAAAGCATTAGATCCATACCTTCTTTGACCATTCCAACACTGAGACACTTCTGAAATCGACAATACTGACATCGGTTCCGGCGTCTCTTGTCTACAGGGCAATTTTTATTTGCCAGGCAAACGTATTTTGCATTTTTCTGCACTGTTCTCTGAGAAAATACAATACAGAGATAGTCAACTAATAGTTTCTGGAAGGAGGTAGGTAGAACCTGACAAGATGTATTTTAATTACAATGTGAAAAGCGACAGTGCAATTCGTATAATTAGATAAATTTAATTTCCTAACACGCTAGCCTGCAGGAAAAACAATTTTATTAGTGTTAGCTGCTGACAATGGAAATCATCTCAGATTGTTCTGAAGCAAGTCTCATGAGATATCCAAGTCTGAATGATAAAATCATATCTGAAATTACCAGGTCAACATATCATACCTTGGAGGATTAGATTATCTCCACTTTTAATATCCCTTGGGGAACAATCTTCTACTTGTTCCACTCCCCTGATTATTGCTGACCTTATTAAAATAAAATCAAAATTATCAGGGATGTACTTTGTTGGCTATCACTACTGTAAGTCGAATATCACAGTAACTGGCTTTGTTCCCAAATAGTGATGAAATCATAAAAAGCAAAATTCTGGACTTGTCCAGTTCAAACATATAAGGCATAATGTTTTAATGCAAAAAAACAAAATCATTCAATCAGCCTGTCTGCTTTATTTTACTTTAAAAGAACATAGGTAGCAAAATGGCCATTTCTGATATTTGAAATCAAAACATTAAAGTTAAATACTAAAAACCCATATAATATCAAAAAATTAAATAAATATAAGGGCCATACTGTCAATAAAAATTCCCATAAGTAAGTTACTTCAGAAATGATTATGACATAGACATCAGAATAGCCATATTGCCAAAAGAAAAATCACAAAACTTGGACTTGGATATAAAATAATGTGTTCAGACTCAGATAATTTAAAATGACACATGGAGAAATAAGCATACTTCATGCTCCAATTTTTTTAAGGCTTGATTTTCCTTAATTAAACATTTGTGCACATGGATGTGGATTACCACTAAGGAAAAAAATCATTCAGAAATTACCCGAATCTCTACAACTCCAAATAGACCAATGATTTGGACATTTAAAAAAATTCATGTAATTTGGTATTAGTGATCTAGTCTGCGTCCAAAATTATAGGTTTAGTTTTTCCTTTCACCAGCCTTTTAAGTCATACATACCAATTTTTACCTTATTGCCTTTTAATTTCATTCTAGGAAGTAGCTTATAAACTGCTTCTATAAAACTTCAGAGAGAAAGAAAGAAAGAAAGAAAAAAAGAAAGACTCAAACAAAACATACATTCCCCCCTGCTTCGGTAGGCTTATTCTAGTTTAAAATGCGAAATTCCAAAGCACAAACATACTTCTGGGTTTCCAGCATTTATATTCCCAGCAATATGTAAGGGTAGGAAACTTGTGTTTTCAGAATAAAAATGTCTTTCATTGAAACTAGTCTAATTTCTAAGGTTTTATTATTTTTTTTTTTTTATCAATCAGCCTCAAGGCAATATGCCAATTTGAGTGCTGGTGGCATTTTGCTTCAGGTATACATTTTCCCAATAACCTGAACCTTCCCCACATTTGTGTGTGCCTACAGAGTTGAAGGACAGAAGAGATCGTTACGGTTCAATCACTGAATTCCCATCATTAACTGCACTTCATGTCACATTTTTAAAGAATTCAATTTAATGGTAGAAAGCCACTGGGTAAAACCTGCTTCTGGTCCCTTAATTAACAGATCTGTGGGGTGGTTCTCCCTCATCCTACTCCCACCCTTTCAAGTATAGATTTGTTTTCAAGAGATTGCTGCAGAAAAGTGAAGCTGTTGGAGAACATTTAATTGACATTTCTAGACTGGGAATGTATTATCATTCTTGTATTGAACTTTGAATCATTCAGGGATGGTTCTATTTGGGGGTTACTCACACTTGCCCTAATGTTTTTCTTTTCTTTCCCCTTTTCTCCCTAGCTGTCCCTTCCACTGCCCTTCAACAATTCTTTTAAGAAGCTGCAAAAATCATACCTTCTTAAATGATGCAGTTATTAGAAAATAACCTTGTAAATACCAAAGAGTTAAGAGGGGGAAATGGCTAACCTGAGGTTCAATATCTAAAATCCTCACAATCCTACACACCTATCTGCCACTTAACATGTTGCAAATTCTTGCTACAATAATTTTTTTCTTTTATTTACGGGATTTCTTGATCACACGATTGGTCTCCCATTGCTTGTTAGTATATATACCAAATACAGAGATTTCAGTATTTGTCACAAACAACCATGAAGTCCTCTTTTCATGGCTCTTTAAAGAATAGAAAGTGGTTTTCCTAAGTATTTTCTCATTCAACATATTTCAGCTCTAACCTTTATTCAACCAGCAGGAAATTGAGGTTTAGAAAGAAGGGTCATCCCCAACCACTTTAGAAAGGATAAAAACTCCTATTTGAGTGTCTGACACTAATTCTCACATACTTCCAGCTACATCCTATTGGTCTCCCAAATCTGTTACACAATCAGCATCCAGCTGACCTCTGTACTCAGCCCAGCAGTGGAAAGTCGTTATTTTCTCCCTTCTTTTTGTTTGTTGATTGGTCTTTGGGCCACACCCTGCTGTGCTTAGGGGCTTTTCCTAGCTCTGTGTTCATGAGTAACCACTAGTGATGCTTGGGTATCATAGATGATGCCCAGGACTTGAACTGGACTCAGCAAGATACAACGCAAGCACCTTACCCCCTGTACTACCTCTCCAGCCTCTTTTTTTTTCTTCTTTTAAAGAAGTGATTTTTTGTGGAAAAACATTTACAGGTTTGCGAAACTGTGCAATGATGGTCAGGAGAGGAGGGGTGAGGAGAGTGGTTTAAGTGTCTGAAGAAGCCTGGAGTGGAGAGCAAAAGTTGCCCCAGAAGAGAGTAAGAGCACTCTTATCCCTGAGTGCCCTTGAGAGGGGTCAACTGGAGTGTGTGTGTGTGGGGGTGGGGGAAGGAACCCAGCTGGACTATCTGATGGGTTGGCCAGGCTCAGTTTTTCTCATGGGTTAAAACAACAACAACAACCAGGGGTGAGAACCAATGCCCCTCCCACTTCTGGAGTCACTAAGATAATGAACTATGAGTACAACTGGCACCAGAGCATGAACTGGTGAGAACCCAGCTTCTGTCCTCTGTGTCCCGCACTGCATTTAGTCCGTGTCCTCTGCCACAGATCTGTGCAAAGGGCTTGCTCTACAGAGGCCACACAGATAAGCGCTGTCCATGGGCACCTCTCTGAGATGGGAGCGAGGTGGGGGGTGCGTGGTCATTGGGTAATTTCTTTGACCCTCTCACTCTTCATCTAGGGGAACAAAAGGACTGTTTCTATGGGCAAGACATTTAATAAAAGAGCTAGTGACCAGCCAGCCTCAGTCTGTCTTCATATGACAAATGCAGAACTAGCAAGGACCCCGAACCAGACACCTCATCTCGGCCGTCACCCCGGTGTACAGAAGATGCAGGCTAGGAGGATTTTTCCCTTTCTGAGGTCCCAGATCCTTTTGGGGATTAGGTTTAAAGTGGGGGAGGGGGAAACAGACAGACGGTCGCTCTGAGTCAGGGTCCCCATCCCTCTGGGTCCCATCCACCCCAACAGCCTCTTGGCAGAGACCTCCCCGGCCCCCAGGCCCTGTTCATGGGCGAGTGATGGCGCTAGGCAAGGCTAGAGGGACACTCAGTGTCCCCGCGAGTCTCTGCAGCCCACGGAGGGGCTAGACACGGGGAGAGGGTCACGCACTGTCCCCGGAAGGGGCTGCAGCCCACGGAGGGACTAGGTTCAGTGAGAGCGTCACCCAGTGTTCCGGGGAGCCTCTGCAGCCCACCGAGCGCGGGGGGGGGGGGGGCACTAGGCACGCGGAGGGGGTCTCCCGGTGTCTCCAGGGGCGGGGCCAGGCACGGCGCGCGGCTCACCTTGAAGAAGCCCTTGCAGCCCTCGCAGGTGCGCACGCCGTAGTGCTGGCAGGCGGCGTTGTCCCCGCACACGGCGCACGTGCCTTCGCCCGACGACGAGCCCCGGTTGGGCGGCGACGGCAGGCTGGGGCTGTCGCCCAGGAGGCCGGACGGGGTGGGCGAGGCGGCGAGGCCCAGCGGCGGGAACCTGCTGGCCATGGGCAGCACGTACGGGTGGGCGTCGAGCGCGGCCGCCTGGCTGCTGGCGGCGGCGGCGGCGGCGGCGGCGGCAGCGGCGGCGGCGGCGGCGGCGGCGGCGGCCGCCTTGGGGTCGTAGCCCAGGTGGTGGCCGCCCGCCGGGCTGGGCGCGGGCGGGTGCGGCGGCGACGGCTTGAAGTGGAAGAGCGGGAAGCGCGCGCCCGCCACGCCGGGCACCGTCTTCAGGGGCGGCTCGAGCAGCGCGCCGGGGCCCAGGCAGCCGGGGGCGGCGGGCAGCGCGTCGTCCCACAGCGCCCCGGCCTGCGCGGGGAAGCCGGGCGTGCTGGGCGTGGACGGCGGGGACGGCTTGAAGTACATGGACGTGCTGGGCAGCACCTCGTCCTCGCGGCCGGCCGGGGGCGGGATGGAGGGCTGCGGCGCGGGCGGCGCGGGCGGCGGCGGCGGCGGCGGCGGCGGCGGCTGCTGCGGCTGCTGCTGAGGGTGGGGGTGAGGGTGGTGGTGGTGATGGTGGTGGTGGTGGTGGTGGTGGTAGCCGTGCCCGCGGCCCTCTTCCATCTTGATCAAGGGCCGCGGCCCGGCCGGCTGCATTTGGTACAGGCACGAGGGCTTGAAGTCGTAGTTGCCCGAGTAGCCCTCCATGAAGGTGCTGAAGCTCGGCAGGGACGTGGTGGCGGTGATCTCGGTGCTGCCCAGGTCCATGGTCAGCTTGGGGAAGTCGGGGTTCATGATCTCCGGGTTGTATTCCGAGACGTACGTCTGCGCTGCATAACTGGAACCTGGGGGTGAAGGGCTATACTGGGCTTGCACGCAGGGCATATCTGCAGGGACAGGGACAGAGAGTGTCTCAGAGGCATGTCCGCGGTCCTGCCTGACCGGACAGGCCACACCGCGCCGAGTGCTGGCTCTCTAATCTGGGCAATGAAGAGAAGCAACAGGCATCCTCCACTGATTCTGGGAGCACCGGCTTAAAGCCCCAGCTCCCTTGCTTTCATCCTTTCTGCACTGGGAAGAGCTGGGAAACCCCTTATCCTTAAAGGGGCCACAGGATAGCAAAACCAGGCTGGGGTGGGGCCGGGGGCAAAGGGGTAGGGGTCTGGGTGAAGCTCTGAGCCCACCTTTACTCCCTCTTTCTCCCTCCATTTTATCTTCCACTAGATCTGGGAAATGTGACACCCTCCCTCTTAAACCCAGCGATGATGTTTGGAGAAAGTGACTTTGTGTCCTATCAATCCCAATGGTCTGAGCCACAAATTGGGGGGACTAAAGAAACCTAGTGAATGCCTCCAGTTGGCTTGTTTCTGGAGAAAGGCCACTGAGTCACCCACTGATTTATACACTCAGGATTTTCTCCCCCACTCCCCTTCATTTTAAAAGGGAGATGTTCTATGTGGGCTTTACTGGCCAAGGGAGCCTGTGACATTCTAACATTGTATTTCTGCCAACAGAAGCTACCCACACATGTTGTGGCCGCTTTCTCCCACCCCCTCCCCACTCCTTCACACAGAGCTAGCAGCCTGCACAAACTGGACCCCTGCTGATGACTTCAGCCAACTAGGTGGTGAGGTGGGCATGTAGGCCCAGGAAATGGACTGGGGGAGGTTGTGCCATCTGCAAAGAAAAAGATCAGCAGCTGCAACAGAACACCCACCAAACCTGCTCTCTGCCATATACAGTACATATATTTCCCCCAATTCTGACTAATCCACTACGCCAGTGGCTGTTTGATGACACTTTACAATGATCACACGAGGCAACACATTGCTTTATGACAGAATTAGTACCCCAACAAGAGAAAAATGTAGTTTCTTAATAGGTTTAGTGTCCCTGCCAGTTGGATTTGACTCTGAATGGTATCTAGGAAGCTTTCTATTATTGAGGGAGGCTGAACTGGGAGGGGAGGCCCTGAGGATTATTGGATCTAACAGATGATTTATCTGATTGTTCCCCTTTCTTTACTGCTAATTATAAATGGCGAATGGATCATTTCTGGTGGTTGGTCTTTCACCAACCAAAAGAATACCAGGTGCTTAGAGGCTCCCTGAAGTCTATGTATGGTGTGAAAGGTGTGACTAATCAAAAAGTGAGTACTTCACATTGCCTTTGACAGCTCTTACCCACATCTCCAAATCTGATTGAGTCATGCATATATGGGTTGAAATCTTGAGTTGAAAAAAGGTGATGAGGGCCTGTTGGAAGAAGCAGTGATGAGGAGAGGCCAGTTCATGCCTTTCTTTGACAAGCTGGGCCTTAAAAATCAGCAGTTTGAAGTCACAGATTACTTTTCCTGTCATCCAGTTGTTGGGGTGAAGAAAAAGGCCCAAGGACCACTGAGGTTCCTGACCGTTCATCCTTTTTCAGTCGCACCTCTAGAATTTCTCCATTAGCCTTTTCTTCATTTCCCCTTGCAGGTCCCTTGCATTACCCTCTGAAGTGTCTTTCCCAGATTTCCAGCTAGAACTGGGAGAGGCTTCTATCATCTATTGGTGCCTATACAGTCCTGGAAACTGGTTACCCCTTTAACAGCTAGATAAAGAGGTGTTACCAGTCAAACTTGCAAACCTTTCTTTTACCCTACTCAAAATTATATTACTTGATTCTCATCTCAAAGATTCTTTTTTCTCTTTCCCTCTGGGTTTCAATAATGACTTGGGTTTCAGACAGACAAGATGCTTTGCCTTGGTCTCAGTGATCTCATACCTCACAATTGCACCAACTGGAATTAAAGGGTAAATACTCCTCTTTATAAAGCTATATAAAAGCCAACTAGATATAAAGGTAAAATGAAGGCTTTAAGATATATCAGAAGTCCCTAATCTATTCGGTGTATTTTCCTTTTCCTTAGAGCAAACATTTTTGAGACATGCAATGACTGATTTAATCTGGCCGCTCAATTTGGTTGCAACAGGGTGTGGTATCCAGAGAATCAGCTCACGAGGAAGCCACCTGCGCTGTGAAAAGGATGGCCAGCAGTCTGGGCCCTGACCCTGGGTAAGTCGATCAGCTTTGCCACCTAGGGTGTACTCCCCACCCACTTAGTCCCAGAGGAGTAAGAGGTCGTGCTTTCAGACTTACCTGGAGGATATCTTGCGCGCTGAATGGTGGGGCTGGGCGTCTCTCCAGCAGAGGCTGAGAGTGGAGGAGGCGGGGATGTCGGGCTGGGCGAAGCAGTGGCGGTGCAGCCCTGCTCCGCTGAGGATCCAGTCTCCGGGCCCGGGCTTCCCGGGCTGCACTCTTCCACAGTAGGTTCTTGTGGGGGCGAGGGGAAAGGACAGAGACCACAGTAAGATCGGGTTGGCTCAGCGAGTCTTGGCCTGGGCGCTCTTGGGACACCAATACAGATGGGGAGCCTCTGTAAGTACTGAACTGATTAAAGACAAGAAAGCAGTGCATAAGGCAACCCTAGTTCCAGTTCGAGAAGCATCACACAATCTTGTTGGAGCCGAGAGGAGGTATCCTCTTTCACCGCGGTCTTGTGGCACCAGGACCGAGACAGCAACCGCAGCAGCCGCGACAAACAACAACAATAAACCGTACAGTCTTTCATCGCCCAGAAATGAACCTTTCCGCCCCCACAACTGACCCCCAGCTCGGGAAGTCAGGAAAACCAAAGGCAGGTGAACATAGGAAAGAATCCCGCCCGAATTCGCGAGCCAGTGACTGTGCACGAGCGGAAAGGAGCTATTTTCCAAACTCCATCCGTCTCCACCCCTGAAATACAAATTTTACACGTTACAGAGGAAATGCACAAGGTCTGGAACGAATGCATGAATGCCGGGAGGAATTAACAAAGTCTGCGCTTTTCATTCTAAATGCTAATAGAGCTTCGCTTCTCTTAGCCGGGAGTTTCGGGGGCCAAGGGGTCAAGCAAACAAAAGGGCAGAATTAAAACAGGCCCAAGCTGGAAGCAAGGCGACTAAGAGGATGGCGTTCGCGGCCGGTGGGGCGTGCGGAGGGAGGACCCCTACACCCCGGCGGGTGTTCACTCTGAGAGTGGGCGATTTAGAGGCTCGAAGGAAACCGACGGCGTGGAGGGGGCACATTCCCGAGGACGCAGGGCGCGCCTCCCGGGCGAGCGTAACCTCCGAGAAACTTTACAGCTGTAAAGCTCAGCTGAGCGGGCCCTAGGGTGGGAAGCAGCCGGCTGCTCCAAACCCCGGTCGAGAGCGCCCTCTTGGCCCCAAACCCATTCACAGGACGAAGGGTTGAGGGGAACGAGCAGGGTGGCAGGGAGGGGGTACCCCAAACGCCCGAAACCTCTGTGGGGCGCGCGACGCGAGGGTCGTGTAAGTTTCGCGTCCCAAAGCTCATGCGCCCCGGGGCTGGCCTCGAAAGGAGAGTGGGGCTGGGAGCCACCAGGTCCGGAAGCGCTCAACGCCCGGGAAATAGGGGATTCCCTTGCCGCCCCCAGCCCCAGCTGGCCCTATGGAAAGCCTGTACTCGCTCTAGCGCTGGCACGGGCGGATCTTCCCAGGACTAGAGCATGCGCTGCTCCCCACCTTCAGCATCTTCAAGGGGGGACTCCAGTAACCCCCACCCCTTCCCCTCCTCCCTCAGGTGCCAGCATCCCCGCCCTTCCCGGAGGTCCTGGAAGCCCATTCTTTCTCCTAGGATCCGTCTCGGATTCAGGTGGGCGAGGTACGCGTGTCCTCCCTCCTCCTCAGTCCCCCCAAGGAAGGGTCTCCAGCTCTATCCCTCGGCCTTCGCGTGACTCAACAGCCGGGCCAGGTGCCCCCACGGCGCTTCCCGCTCACCCCCCTGAAGCGCCGGTTTCCTAGGCAAAGCCTCGTCGCCTGCAAACACGTGCGGGCGCTCCAGCTCGCGGCCGCTGGGGCCAGGAACGCGGAGCTGGAGAGTTGTAAATTAGGAAGCAATGACCACCTCTGTCAAAGCCCCTTTCTTTCTCGGGGGTAGACGAAAGGAACACCCCCGTGTTCCCCTCCGTGTGGTGAAGTGTGTGGAGGAAACCGTGAAGCACCCCATTGTGACCGGGGCTCCTCCGCGGAGTTTCCAAGCCGGGGGGAGCGGGGGCGGAGGTTGGGCGGGGGCAGAATGAGTGGAAGAGAGACAGACAGAAAGGGAAAGACAGATTCTCAGAAAGACCGAGGGAGGGGAGACGAACCTCCGGGGAGAATTTCGCCGAACGCACGGTCCCAGGGAAGGGGGTGTGGGAGCCCGCGAGTTTGGAGGCTGCTTCGGTCTAAGGAATCTTTGACAGTCACACGAGAAGCATCTTGCTAGGCTAAGACCACGCGAATGAACTCAACGCTATTCATCGTGCCCCACAGCCCTTTCTTTCTCCAACTCGGTCCTCTGTTCAAGAGTTCTGGGCCGTGGGAAGGGGCGGTTTAGGAGCGGATTCGCGCACAGTGGCGCCCAGTTCCTCTGTCCTGGCACCCTAAGGCCCTGGGATAGCAGCCCGAGATGTCCGGTGACCCAACAACTCCTGCAGCACATTCCCCTTGAAGACTCCCGAGGCTTAAAATAAAAAACAATTTCCAGGAACGTTCCGTAGACTCAAGGGACATTAATGCGCTCTCTCCCCCGAGTGCCCCAAGCGCTCCCAGCACGCTCGAGGGGAGACTTTGCAGTCAGTGTCCGCAGGCTGAGCTGTGAGGCTGCTTTCCTCAGTACCCAGAACTTTCATTTCAATCAAGAGTAAAACCCTCAAAGCAACTTCTCCAAAAGCGTGAGCACCTGCCACTATAAAGTGAAACCTGCCTTTCCTACACCCAGCCACGGCCGCGAGCGGAGGATGCCCGGTCCCCACCGCGTGTCCGGACGCGGGAGCAGTCCATTACAGCCCATCCCCTCCGCAGGGGAAAAAGTGTAAACTAGCAAGTCAGGCCGACGTGCCCCGTGGAGCATCGAGCTCATTTCAATACAATAAGCTTCATTCCTACAATTATGTCCTTTTTCCTGAGCTCCTAGGAGCGCCTCAGCAAACTCTGGCTGCTCAGGTCCAGGCCTTTTCCCTCTTAAAGCTTCCGTCTAGTCCACCGGCGAGCAGTCACCATTAGGTATATTAACTTAGGCCCACAGGAGCCCTTCTTTTTCAATCCTAGTTAAAAGGCAGGAAAATTACCGCCGTTCATCACCAGACCTGCAACTCCCTGCCGCCGCCGCTGCCGCCGCCGCCGCCGAGAGCATCATTACCATGACAACTAGAGCCGAAATACCCTGAATTACATCGCCAGAGCTGCAACTGCACAAACCCCGGTCTTCCTCTTTGTTAGAGGCTTTTCGACTCTTGGGGTCGGTGGGGAAAGAATTTCACGACCTCCAGAGATCCCCGCCCGCCCCCCCACCCCCGGTGGACCCACTATGGGGGAAAAGTTTCAGATCAGAACCCTCTCGGTGGGCAAAGCCTGAGTCTGGCAGCAAGGATGAGAAAACACACATGCACAAACAAACAAACTAACAAACAAAAAACCCCAAAACAACCCACGCCCAAAGTTGTCAATTTCAGGAGCTATGCTTCCCGGCGCGCCAACTTTTTAAGCAAGTCCCACAGTTAACTAGGAGAATCTCATACTTACTTGAGAGCTGTGGCGGTTCCGTCTTTAGAGCGAGTTTCTAGAGAGCTGCCTTGAAATCTGCACTGGGTGGGGGGCAGTCACAGCTGCTGTCCCGGAAGGGCTGCGGTGCACAAGCCCAGCGGCTCCCGGAGGCGGCGAGCGGCTGGCAGGGGATGCTGCGATCCCGACTCATGGGAGAGCTCCGCTGAGGGCTTCCGCGGACGTCCTGGCTCCGGCCGCGACTAAGGGAGAAGATGCTGCGGCCGTTCCCACCTCCACGGGGACCACCGGAGCTGTCTGCGTTGCAAAGTGAGCCCGGAGGGGCGTCCGGCTGCCGGCTCGGCGCCGCACCGGCTCTTAGAGCGCAGGGCGAGAGGGGTGTGAGCGCGCGGCAGAGTGGAGTGTGTGTGCGGAGCGTGTGTGCGCGCGTGTCTGCGTGTGCGAGTGAGGGAGCGGGGTGTGAGCTTGTCTGTGTATGGGGAGCGGAGGAGGAGCAGGAGCTGGAGGGGTGGGGGGCGGGAGGCCGGAGTCTCCGCACTCCCGGCTGCGCTTTCGCTTGCTCTCTCGGCACTTCATTTATGCCACAGGAGCCCAAGCGGCCTCACATAGAGTGCCTGGAATGCGAGACGTCAATGTGACGTCATGGGACGCTACGTCACCGTCCCTCCCCTGGCCCAGCCGGTTCCGCGTGTGCGAGGGAGGGCGTGTATGTGTTCATGGGCGCGCGCCTGCGCGCCCGCGCGCGCGCCCGCGCTCTCTCCAGCCAGTCGCAAGGCCGCACAATAGAAACTGCACCGCTCGGCCAGCTGCGGCCCCCGAGCCTCTCGGAACAGCGCTGCGGACTGTTTTTTTTGCAGCAGCGCGGCTCTCCCCGGCGGTAGTCTGCGAGAGGGTGCAGCTGCCCGCCCGCGGGTCAGGCGGGACCGCCCAGCTGTCAGGCTCGGGTGGAGTAGAGTTGGAGGAGTGCTGTTGGCGCGCCTCCGAGGCTGCCCCGAGGCAGGGAGCCAGGGCTAGGGGGTAAGGGAGAGGACAGCTCTTCCGAAAGGGAAGGCTCCGCCAGCCAGCTTCTCCGAGTGACCTGGCAGCTGGTGCCGGAGTCAGGCGCCAGCCTGAAGGCTCCCTGAGGTGCAGCTGCGCTTTCCTCCAGCGGCGGTTCTCAAGCTGTTTACGTCTCTTTGGCCCCTCTGAGCCTGAGCTTATTTTCCCCCCCTCCTCCCATCATTTGTTGGGTGCGTGTTTCCCTTCTGCACTGGGATGCAGATGACTTCGGGAAGATAAGGTTTTGTTTCTTAACGCACTCTAGGTGTGGACACTGAACTATAATAAGTGCACATCCACCACGGTGCGCGCGCTGCAGCAGCAGAAACTACGTTGTGTGTGTAAAACAAACACACGTGTTGAACAGCTGAGTGGGTCTGACTTGCAAATCACCCCCCCCCCCCACCACCGCCGTCAGAAATGTAACTCTCAGCTCGCACTTTCACTTTTTGATGATTGTTGACAGGCCTCCCCTCCCCTCTCCCAAATAAGACGTTTCGAAATCAATCAGTAGGATTTATTAGTCCCTCGCTAGGGAATGTGCTCTGGTTTCCTGGGACTCATTTTTCATGAACTGGTGTGCCACAAGCCTGAAGGACTGTGTAAAAGGGAGAGCAGTTTCTTCCTGGAAATGAATGAATTTAAGTGTGACTTTCTTGCTGTAAACAAAAACACAAATTAATCAGGGTCAAGGGCTTCTAGTTTCAAAGGTTCCGGCGGAGTATAAGCAACTTGGGGATGAATTTTTAAAGGCGAACGAGTTTGAGTGAGGTAATGCAGAATGCCCAGGTGTCCGGTGGGAATCAGAGGGGACACCTTATTTCTCTGACCTGTCACAGTCTTGCTTGGGTGTCTGGAAGAAGAGACTGAAGGGAACGTTATCCCCATCGCCAGCACAGCACTTTCAGACTCGGATGGTGGTACAGACTAGAGCTCCAGAAACGTGCAAACAGAACTAGACATTCTCTAGAATACACGAGGTCTATTTCTATGGCTTCGAACATTCCCCCCTCCCCCAGGTCTCCGTCCGCAGGTAAGGTGAGGCGGAGAGAGACCGTGGGAGGATGCCGCGAAAAAAGTTGACCCAGCAGAGAGCAACCACTGAGCTGCTGCCCGGCTGCGGGTTCCAGTCCAGCCTTCGGAGGACGGAGGGCGCTGCTCCATTGCATCCATTCAAAGTCTGGGGGTCGGGGTGGGGGGGGGGAGAGTGGGGGGGGTGGTGAAGGTGGTGGTGGTGGGGGGAGCAGGACCTGGAGCCGCGCGGCGCTGACGCACGCGAGGCGCGTGATTGACGCAGGCGAAGTTACTAAATTCGGCGCTTGGCCTGGCCGGGCCGCTGGCGCGCGCGGCAGATCGCAGAGTAGGTTCCCCTCGGTCACCCCCGCCCCTTCTCCATTCAGCGCCGAGCGGGGCGGGGCGGGGCGGGGCGCGGCGGGGCGGGGCGGGGCGCGCGCGGCCGCGCCGGGATCCGGCAGCACCAAATATAGTCGGGGCCCGGGTTATTTTTAGCCGGGGCCTCGGGCGCGAGCGCGCCGCGGGAGGGGGCGCCCTTTCCCCGCCGGGAGAGCCGAGTGCGTCCGGGTGCGCGCGCGCGCGTGCATGCGTGCGTGCGTGCGTGCGTGCGTGTGTGTGTGTGTGTGTGTGTGTGTGTGTGTTGTGTGTGTGTGCGGGGCGGAGTCGCCATCTTGGACTCGGCTCGACCCCGTCGGGTGACCCGCGACCCTAGCCCCGGGGGTCGGGGTGAGTGCGTGTGAGCCGTGGGGGGGTGGGGGGGGAAAACGTGCGGGCTGGGGGCGCGCATGCGCATGCGCCGTGCGATGAACTCCCCCCCCCCCCCCACTCCCATCCCGCTCTTTCCCCAACATCCCCTCGGCGCTGGCCGGGCGGCGGGAGTAGCTCAGTGATTCCCCCCCCCCCATACACACACACCCCCCCACACACACACACCCATGCCCGGCGCCCACGGTCGGGCCGGGCGCGGCCGCGGCTGCCACCCCGCCGGCCCCCCAGCCGCGTGGGGGCGGAGCTGCCCGCGGCCACCACTTCCTGAGAGCCGGGGATACCCCTCCCGGACGTCACGGAGGAGACTGGGCGGCGGTGGCGGCCCCGGGCTCATCCTGCACTTGCATCACGGGTGCAGCCAGCAGCTGCTCGGCTGCTTTGTGGCTTTTTCCCCCCGTTGAGTAACTGCTTTGTTAACTGAAAATACCATGACGGGCCAGGGTGATCACCAGCTCCAGACCTCAAAGAAAGTGAAGCTTGTCAGGCTGAGAAGAGGGAGACTCCCCCAGCCGGCTGCGGTGGTATCTGGTGGGTGGGTGTGCAGAGAGGCGCTTGGCAGTTTCCACGTATTACTTCTTGCCTAACTCTTCACCCCCAAGGAGGTTTAAAAATACTTTTTATTTCCATGCTCTAAAAATTTCATGTGCTCTGCACCCCACCCCTCCCCCTCTTTGAAATCGCATGCAGATTTCATGCACTGTAAAGCAAGAACCCTAAAATTAAAGTACAGTTTTGGGCTAACTTTTTTTTTGGGGGGGTGGGGGGAGGCGAGCTGGGTATTATTCAGTGAAATTTTTAATAGAACACCTTTTTGACATGTTAGCATAGATAAGGTGCTTGCCCACCTGAGGTAGTTATAAAGCTGCTTAAGCCAAGTTCTTGCCTATGAAGTTGGGCTCCCTGGGTGAGAGTTTCTCACCCATCTCTGCATTTACCTTAAACTTTTTTCTCCCCACCCTCCTTCCATCCCTGACTGAACATTTCCAGGTAAATTCAGCGTCTCTTTGGGCGTGTCTTTCTGGACTTCTGTGTTGGTGGGTTCTGTGCTTCCGCCCCCCTCTTTCCTCCCCCACTGTCTGCCTCCTCTACATCCTTTCCTTCCTGAGTATCAAGTCACCAATCTTTGTTCCTTGACTGCAGTGAGCCCAAGGCTGTTGTCTGATTCCGCTGAACCAATCCGCTGCCTTCCCGCTGTGGGTCGGAAACCGGACTGACTGTTGAAAAGGTTCCAGTGGTCACTGATGAGTTGCAACAGTTTTGCACTCAAGTGGAAAATCATGGACGCAGAAGCAAAGCTCTCTTCACAAACTAGGGCGCCCTCCTCGACTTAATCCCAGGTCTCTGATGAACGTAGGCGGTTTTTAGGTGACCTGACACAGCGTGATTTTTTTTTTTTTGGTATTGGTATCTGTTATTCTGTATCTTTTCAGAAATCTGATTTAGGCCCGCAGAGTTTATGTAATAGGACTGTAGTTCTAAATAGCACTTCTAACACCTTTTTAAAGATTAAATAAAACAATTTACAATTAGGTCTTTTTTTTTCTTCCACCTTGGAAATCAAATAGAAGGTGGCTTTAATCTGCAATGTTGAGAATTTAGCTCTTTGGGGTCTCTGTTTTAGAAGGGGCATTCATGTGTGGCCTAGTTTACTCACACAAAACAAAGGAGTGTGTGTGACAAGCAGTCTGTTAAAAGAAAGTGCTTCGTAAAGGATGCACTGGATAGTAATCTTTTGTTTTGTTTTGCTTTTGTAGGTGTAGTCTGCCTGCAAGAAGGTGCTCTTTCTCTGGGAAAATTCTGCATGGAATTTGGGAGAGATTTATTGTTTCTAATACAAAAGGAATGACTTGAACAAAATGGGATTCACAAGTTGCTTTCTGTGCTCTTCTGCTTAAGCAGTGACAAACCTTGTTGATTTTGCTAATATGTAAAGAATGATGATGAATCTTCTTAATATAAAGAAAGGGTGAGAAAGGTGAAATATAAATTCCAAGTCAGGAAGTTGTTACCTAATGTGTAAGTAGGAATTATGTGTACAAATTCAAGTTTCTCCAGAATCAGTGAAATTCCATAGTATGTGTAAGACTTAAGTATCTAAAACTTAGTGATCTCATCTTTCCTGATTTGCATACTTTGGTGGACTGCTTTCAAGATTGTGGGGTTATTGTAGGTGCTTTCATTCTGGCCCTTTGTATTCTTTCCCTTTCTTTATTCAATTTTAGCATTGCCAGGCTAATGTTAAAATAGAGCTTTTGTTATACAACTCTGGAGCCCAAAAGTCTTAGCAACTGGGTAATTGTCATTGGAATCAAACCCTAGACTCTTCCATTCTGCCCTCTTTTCCATTCTGCCCCCTTTTTCCACAGAATTTCCTTGTCATAGTCAAACTGGTGTCTTTCCTCTTCTTTCCAACTGCTTACCTTCCCACACTGTTCATAGCTTTTTTTTTTTTGTCAAGGCTGGAGCAATAACACAGCGGGTAGGACACTTGCTTTGCACGTGGCCCACCTGGGTTCGATTCCTCTACCCCTCTGGGAGAGCCCAGCAAGCTACTGAGGGTATCCTGCCCGCACAGCAGAGCCTGGCAAGGTCCCTGTGGCGTATTCAATATGCCAAAAAATAGTAAAAAGAAAAAAAAAACAGACGTTACTGGTGCCCGCTCGAGCAAATCAATGAACA